ACTATACATAGGATGGCAATAGCAGATTGGGGGGGGGGCATGAAAGGATGATGTGGGGTAAGAAATAGCAAAAGCCAAAGTGAAACTTATTAGGATGGATGTAAAGACATGACCTAAGTCCCCTTTAGAGTCAGAAACCAAACTGCAGCTCTTAGTAATGAGATCTCAGCCAAAATGCAGGAGCTGGCAATAGAAAAATTTCTCTATCCTCTCTATTCTCTATTCTCTATCCTCTGCACATAGCTGATGTTTGAGGGCATGGGAAAGAGAAATTTGGGATCTGTTTAGGGAGCAGGAGTAAAGGAGTCCAAAGGAACCAGGTACTGTTACCATAATGATACTACAGAGAGGAAGACATTTTGTTTAGCGTATTGTTTCTAGGCTTGAGAACAGCAAAGGGAAGCATTTGAAACATGACTAAAAGTAACTAAATGGCCCTATCCTACAGACAGGAGAGGACTCGAGAGCAGAGATGAAGGGCTAGCCTTGCTGAGGGAGGATGAAGAGTTGAGGATCGAGATGAAGTGAAAGTGGGGGGATGCACTGAACAAGCTTTGTTTCAGTAGAAATGTAAGTGAATTCATCTGTCCATCTATTCTATTAGATGTCTCTAATAGGCAGCCACTGTGTCCACTTATCAGTTAGACACACACAGACAAGAAAATGGTTTGAATGATTGAATTTATTTCCTAAAGATGGCTCACAGCCAGTGTCCCAAAACCAAGACCCATTCCCTACCCTAACTGCATGAAATCACCTTGTTGATAAGGTCTGGGGACTGGTGGTGATGGTCTCTCATAGACTTTGGGAGAAAAACAATGTCTCAGGACAATTGGGAGAAAAATCACACTGTGGAGAAAAGAAGTTGTGCTAAAACACAAGGATCCAACTCTTGATGGATGATGGCATTCTGTATGCTGTGAAAATGTGTTACTCTGATTGGTTGATAAATAAAGCTGTTTGGCCAATGGTGAGGCAGAATAAGGTTAGGCGGGACATTCTAAAGAGAGAGGAAGGAAGAAGACAGAATGGGATAGATGCTGCTAGCGGCTGTCAGAAGCAGGATGTAAAGGTACCTACAAGTAAGCCACGAGGCAAAGTATTGATTTATAGAAATGGGTTAATTTAAGATATAAGAACTAACTAGTGAGAAGCCTCAGCCATTAGGCTATATCATTTGTAAATAAACCTCTGTGTGTTTACTTGGGTCTGAGCGGTTGCAGGACCAGGCGGGACACAGGAATTTTTTTTTTTTTTTTTTTATTAATTTATTTTGCAATACAATTCAGTTCTACATATCAGCCACGGATTCCCTTGTTCTCCCCCCTCCCGTCCCCCTCACCTTCCCCCCAACCCCCCCCCCCCATTCCCATCTCCTCCAGGGCAAAGCCTTCCCCACAGACTGAGGTCAACCTGGTAGACTCAGTCCAGGTAGGTCTAGTCCCCTCCTCCCAGGCCGAGCCAAACAATCCTGCATAGGCCCCAGGTTTCAAACAGCCAACTCATGCAATGAGCACAAGATCTGGTCCCACTGCCTGGATGCCTCCCAAACAGATCAAGCCAATCAACTGTCTCATCCATTCAGAGGGCCTGATCCAGTGGGGACCCCTCAGCCATTGGTTCATAGTTCATGTGTTTCCATTCATTTGGCTATTTGTCCCTGTGCTTTATCCAACCTTGGTCTCAACAATTCTCGCTCATATAAACCCTCCTCATTCTCGCTAATTGGACTCCCAGAGATCCACCCGGGGCCTAGTCATGGATCTCTGCATCTAGATCCCTCAGTAGTTGGATGAGGTTTCTAGCACAACAATTAGGGTGTTTGGCCATCCCATCACCAGAGTAGGTCAGTTCGGGCTGTCTCTCGACCACTGCCAGCAGTCTGTTGTGTGGGTATCTTTGTGGATTTCTGTGGGCCTCTCTAGCACTTTGCTTCTTCCTATTCTCATGTGGTCTTTATTTACCATGGTCTCCTATTCCTTGTTCTCCCTCTCTGTTGTTGATCCAGCTGGGATCTCCCGCTCCCCCAAGCTCTCTTTCCCTCAACCCTCGCCTTTCATTACCCCCACTCATGTCCAGGCTGTTCATGTAGATCTCATTCCATTTCTCTGTCATTGGGTGATCCCTGTATCTTTCTTGGGGTCCTGTTTTCCAGGTAGCCTCCCTGGTGATGTGAGTAGCAGACAAGTCATCCTTGTTTCATGTCTAGTATCTTGCTATGAGTGAGTACATACCATGTTTGTCTTTCTGAGTCTGGGTTACCTCACTCAGGATGATTTTTTCTAGATCCATCCATTTGCCTGCAAACCTCATGATGCCATTGTTTTTCTCTGCTGAGTAGTATTCCATTGTGTATATGTACCAGGGACACAGGAATTTTATAAGTGGCTGTGGGACCTTGGTGCCAGGCGAGCACAGGAAAACTTTCAGCTACAAACTCTTGTACCTAAGAATGTGTCTTACACAGAAGGGCACCTGCCAAGGGCTAATGCTGCTCGAGACTACAATTTTAAAACATCATTTGGGTCTGTATAAAAGATCATTAAACTGTGAAGTTCATAGTCCTTAATGAGTATTTTACTAGTTTTAACAAGCAGTAACTATGACAATCGACCCAAAGATTTTCCCCAGGGAAAAGAAAATCCCATGGTCTACAGGACTTCCACAATCTCCTCCTCTGCACTTGGAGTCTTCACATCTCAAAAGACCACTCATCGTTAGGATCTGTAAGTAGTAAATGCCATCTTATCAACCACTCAAACCTGACCTGAGGGTTTTCAGACCTCAGGGTTTCTCCCTGATTTCTTACAGCCAAAAATGAAAATGTTTTCAGAATTTACCTTTAAGCCAGTTGTTTTCAAACATTTTGGACTCAGGACTCCTTTTGTAGCTGTACTATTGGTCCCAAGGGCTTTATTTATGTGGGTAACATCTATTAATACTTACCAAAGAAGGATTAGAACTGAAAAATTTTAAATTCTATTTGAACAAAGTTAAAAAACATCAGTTTTCTTTTTTTTAAAGAGGACAGATTTATCTTGCTCAGTTTCAGAAATTTCAGTATATCATAGCAGGTGATAATGATGATCACAACAGCGGCATGCTAGAGCAGGTCAGCTTATATCACAGTGGCCCAGGAGGCAGACAGGAAGTGGTCAGGAAGGGTCCAAAAGCAGCCGCAGTGACTGACTTCCTCCAGTAAAGCCCCACCTTGGAAAGTTTTCACATCCCCCCAAATAGTGCCACTACCATAGGCCAAGCAATCAAATCATGATCTTCTGAGGAATATTACATATTAAAACTATGACATTCCATCCCTGTCATCCAAATATTGAAGGCCACCTCATAAGGTAAATGCCTTTATTTTTCCCTTTTTATTGAAAATAGATTTTTTCTACATAAAATACCTTAAGGTTTCCCCTTCCTCTACTCCTCTCAACTTCTGGCCCCATCCAGATGCACTCCCTTTCTGTGGTTTCTAGGGGGTAATAATAAAATATATTGGAGTTGGACATGACAAACTGAAGGAAAAGAGCCCAAGAGAAGGCACAAAAATTAGAGACACACCCAGGAATCCCATAAAAACACTAAACTGGAAGTCATAACACATACTCAGGACCTGGTGCAGCTGTGCATGCCCTGTGTATCCGACCTCAGTCTCTGTGAGTTCATATATGGAGTGACCATGTTTAGAGGGACTTGTTTTCTTGGTGACCACCATCCCCTCTGACTCTTATATTCTTTCCACTTCCTCTTGCACTGGGTTCTCTAAGCCCTGGAGGGAGGGATTTGATAGACATCCCATTTAGGGCTGAGTGTTCCAAGGTCTCTTACTCTGTATAATGTCTAGCTGCCTATCTACCACAGGAGAAAGCTTCTCCAATGATGGCTGAACAAGGCACTGACCATGAGTAATTAGGAGTTATAGAAGCCATTTAATTGCTACTTTCCCTTTCAGAACAGTAGTATTTAGTTTTATCCTAGGTCCCTGGCATATCTAGTCTCTTATTCGTGGTCACCCAAGCAGTGTTGGTTATGGGTTCCATCTTATGGAGTGGGCCAAAGTCAAAGCAGATATTGGCTGGTTACTCCCACAAACTTTGTGCCACCATTGTCCTAGCATATCTTGCAGCCAGACACTATTATTGTTCAAATAATAGTTGTGGCTGACTTGTTTACATTTCTCTTTTGGTAGTATGCAGCATACCCTCTTGTATGCTAGATGCTAGAACTCTTTGGGGTGAAGGCTCTATGTCGGCACCAGCTTGACTTTTCCATGTTCAGTGAGTTGTATGGGTATTGTCTTCAGCAATGGGGCCTGGCTGTCAGTTTGTAGAGTGCAGCCTGTAGTCTTGGCAAGTCTGGATTGTTTAGGGATTTGCATGGAACACCTTTGGTCAGCAACTCAATTAGATATAATCCATTCCTGGCACTGGAAGTTTTATTTGGTGACAAGAAATGGTCAGTTGGGATTGTCTCCCCCATTATTTGGCTATTTCATTTAGATTGCCTTCATATAGGTATCTATTTTAGGAAGCTTTTACTGTATTAGGTTTCCATACTACCCCTCAAATGCCCCTTAATTTTAGTTGTTTTTTTTCTTTTATTCCCCCTTCCATTCTACCCCCATACACTTGATCCTCCTGTTCCAGCCTTCCTCCACCATCCATCCATAATTATCTATTCAATTTCACTTTCCTAATAAGCTCTATCTGTACTTGCTTGTCCCTTCAGCGGTTCTACAGATTGTAGCTTGGTTACCATTGACTTAACAGCTAATATCCCATATAAGCAAATACATATTTGTGTTTCTAGATCTGGGATACCTCATTCAGGATGTTTTTTTCTAGTTCCAGCCATTTACCTACAAATTTCATTTTGTTTTTAAACAGCTGACTAGTACTTCATTGTGTAGATGTACCACATTTTCTTTATCCATTCTTCTATTGGGGGCTGTAGATGTAACCAACCGTCTTATTAAATAAGAAACACAGAACCAATGCAAAGAGGAAAGCCAAGAGATCAGAGCTAAGAGCCTTACCCGTCTGCTGCAGCTAGCCTCTTCAGCCAAGAGACCTCTCCGAAAGAGATGTACTTCCTGTCTGTTTGTCTTTATATAGACTTCCTGTTCTGCCTTCTCATTGGTTGTAAACCCAACCACATGACTGCCCCGTCACTGCCTGTCTGTACAGACCTCCAGGTCTTCTATGGTTGGTATTGAGATTAAAGGCGTGTGTCTCCAATGCTGGCTGTATCCTTGAACACAGAGATCTACCTAGTTCTGTCTACCAAGTGCTGGGATTAAAGGCGTGCGCCACAAATGCCCAGCTCTGCTATGGCTTGCTATTAGCTCTGACCCCCAGGCAACTTTATTTGTTAACATACAAATAAAATCACATTTCAGTACAAATAAAATATCACCATAGGGGGCCATCGAGGTTGTTTCCATTTTCTAACTATTATAAATAGAGCAGCAATGAACATGGTTGAACAAGTTTCTCTGTGGTAGGATGAAGCATCCTTTGGGTATATGCTCAAGAGTGGTATAGCTGGATCTTAAAGTAGATTAACTCACATCTTCCTGAAGAACCACCACACTGATTTCCATAGTAGCTGTACAAGTTCGCATTCCCACCAGCAATGGAGGAGTGTTCCCCTCACTCTACATCCTCGCCAGCATGAGGTGTCACTTGTTTGATCTCAGCCACTCCAACAGGTGTTAAGATGAAATCTCAGTAGTTTTGATTTGTATTTCCCTGATGGCTAAGGATGTTAAACATTTATTTCTCAGACATTTGAGTTTCCTCTATTGAAAACTGTGTTTAGATCTGTATCCCATTTTCTAAATGGGTTGTTTTCTTGATGTCTAGTTTCTTGAGTTCTTTATATATTTTGGATATTAGCCCTCTATTGGATGTGGAGTTGGTAAAAATCATCTTTCCCCATTCTGTAGGTTGCCTCTTTATCTGAAGGGCAGTGTCTTTTGCCATGCAGTAGCTTCTGTTTCACAAGGTCGCATTTATGAATTGTTGATCTTAGTGCCTGTGCTAATGTTCTGTTCAGAAATTCTTTTCCTGTGTCAATGAGTTGAAGGATATTCTCCATTTTCTCTTCTATCAGGTTCAGGGTGTCTGGTTTTATATTGAAATCTTGGAGTTAAGTTTCATACAGGGTGATAAGTATGGATCTATTTGGATTCATCTATATGTAGACATCTAGTTGACCAGCATAATTTGTTGAAGATGCTTTCTTTTTTCCAGTATATGTTTCTGGCTTATAGAAAATCAAGTGTCCATAGGTGTGTGCATTTGTCTGGGTCTTCAATTAGATTTAATGGTTCACTGTGTCTGTTTGTACCAATACCATGTTGGTTTTATTACTATAGCTTTGTAGTGCAACTTGAAATCAGGGATAGTGATACTTCCTGTAGTTTTTAATTATTTGGGGGTTGTTTTTAGCTATCTTTGTTGGTTTCTATATGAAGCTGAACACTGTCCTTTCAATTTCTGTGAAAAACTGTATTGGGGATTGTATTGAATCTGTGAATTGCTTTCAGTAGGCCATTTTTACAATATAAGTAATCTTGCCGATCCATGAGCATGGGGGATCTTTCTATCTGACTTGAAGTTTTTAATCATTCAAGTCTTTTACTTGCTTAATTAGCATTACCCCAAGATATTTTATATTACTTAAGGCTATTTTAAAAAGTGTTCTTTCCTTGATTTCTTTCGCAGTCTGTCATTTGTATATAGGAGGGCTACTGATTAAAAGAAAAAAATCATTATCTAAAACAAAAATTTGGCAGAGGCATCGCTTTACATTCTTAGAAGTCTTTTCAGCACCAAGCTCAAAGGATTCTTGGGATCTGCTGTTCTAAGTATGTTCCCCAGTCACATCATAAACCCTCTGAAAACTCCACTCTGTGCCCAATAGAGTGAGATACAATGGTAATGACAACTTCTGTCTCTTTCCTGGGGCTCCATAATGAAGCACAATAAATCACTCCAGTCATTCTCTCATAGCTTGCTGGCCTGAGCTTTAAAATCCAGGCACCAACAGTAGGAAGGCTGGTTCCTTCTGAAGGCTCTGGGGGATACTTTTTTCTAAGTGTCTAGAAGCAAGTATTAGCATTACTCCATCCTTTGCCTTTTTCACATAGTACATTCCTTGTCAATTTCTCTGTGTCTCCCCTTGTAAGGATTAACTAGAGGCTACCCTTGTCCTGAATGACTTCATATTCACAGATCATTTTATAAATAAGGTCATATTTACAGGTTCTACTAGATAGGAATTTTGGAAGACAAACTCAGTATGGACTTCCCTCTCGTCCTTATCTTAAGATATAAATCCCTGGGGCTGGAGAGGTGGCTCAGCAGTTAAGAGTACCAGCTGCTCTTCCAGAGGACCCAGGTTCAATTCCCAACACCCACATAGCAGCTCATAACTGTCTATAGCTCCAGTTCCAGGGGATCCAGCACCCTCATACACATGTAGGCAAAAACACCAATGCACATAAAATTAAAAAAAAAAAAAAAAAAAAAAAGATATAAATTCCCCACAAAGAAAAGCCCAGATCCAGAGGTATCTGAGTCAATCTATTTTTCTAGATATCCCTGCCTCCCCAAATTCCTACCAGGTAGAAATACATATATATTTACACCAGATCCCTCCCACTATTATTCAGACTGCCAGCAAGACATATGAAACGGTTTTAATGGAAAAGCTATTTTACTCCCCAAAGTACAAACAGCATTGTGAACTTCTTATACGCAGACTCAACAAGCTACACCGTCTTAAGGAGGCTGCTCTAGATATTCTGTCATCCCTTTCAGCCCCAAAGTCCATGGAACTTCATTTAGAAGACACTGATATACATGATTATCTTAAATAGAAAAGCTCTAATACAAATAATCTGCCATAAATAGACATTTCTGAAATGTCTATTTCAACTCAAAGGAAACAAATACACAATTAAAAAAATATGCTTTTGCTCCTTGCTACAATTTAAAGGCTCAACTCTGAAGAACAGATTTTTTGAACTAAATCTGTCCAGTCCGAAGGATGGGAGTCAGAACACACAGCCATGTAGGATTTCCTCAGCCAAAGATGACAGCTGTACTCCAAGATCTACAACATGATCTTTTTTGGTACTTTTAAGATGCCAACTCCACTCTAGCTTAGTTTACATGCTCCTTAAATTTTAAGGGGAAGCAGATAAAGACACAGCCTTTCAGTTCTAAGTCAGTGTTAAAATCATCTTCTTTCTGTTTTTGCGTTTCCTCTTCTTCTCTTCCAAGTGACTAGTAGCTTCAGCAAAGAACATAACTTCACTCTTTGCTTCACACTCTCTCTTGAGATAATCGAGACCTGCCATATTAAAGCCAATGACATCCTAGAGAGGAACACAAGAAAGTAAATGCAATTCTTTGCTGTTCAGTCAATGCAGCAGCCTCTGAGTATGTGTTGTCATATTTCTTTCCCTCGCTAAGGACTTTCGTTGGTGGTGTTTTAAAAATTCTGTTTGGAGCCGGGCGGTGGTGGCGCACGCCTTTAATCCCAGCACACGGGAGGCAGAGGCAGGCGGATCTCTGTGAGTTCAAGGCCAGCCTGGTCTACAGAGCGAGATCCAGGTAAAGGCGCAAAGCTACACAGAGAAACCCTGTCTTGAAAAAAAAACAAAAAAACAAAAAAAAGAGTTTGCCGGGCGGTGGTGGCGCATGCCTTTAATCCCAGCACTCGGGAGGCAGAGCCAGGCGGATCTCTGTGAGTTCGAAGCCAGCGTGGGCTACCAAGTGAGTTCCAGAAAAAGGCGCAAAGCTACACAGAGAAACCCTGTCTCGAAAAAAAAAACAAAAAAAAAAAACAAACCAAAAATTCTGTTTGGTTGTGAGCCTAGCCTTTAACGGCTGAGCCATTAGCCGGGCGGTGGTGGCGCACGCCTTTAATCCCAGCACTCGGGAGGCAGAGCCAGGCGGATCTCTGTGAGTTCGAGGCCAGCCTGGGCTACCAAGTGAGTCCCAGAAAAGGCGCAAAGCTACACAGAGAAACCCTGTCTCGAAAAACCAAAAAAAAAAAAAAAAAAAATTCTGTTTGTAATAATGCCAACAGAAAGTTTTCCTAAGTACAGGTTTATATCTGTTTGATATTGTGACAGACAGAGCCCAACATATGGTACCTTTAGGGCACATGTCTATAACACTTACCTGGACTTGCCTGACTTTTGAAATAGTTGTTTCCTTTAGTTTCTCTATCACAGGCACAAGCATCTGGTTGCTGGTGATCTGGCCAAAGTGAATCCTAAAAGAAAAAAGTCACGCTGCAAGGAGAGGATCTAGCCCTATCAGTCTTCTCCCCTCCCCACCCCACTCCTAGGAATAGTAAACAGATGACAAGATACAGATCCAATTCACCAACAAAAACAAGAACAAAAATCACCTAAGTTTCCCAACATTCAGTTTGATAATTTAAAAAATACTATACTAAACCTGATGACACAGTCACATCTTTTCACAGAAATCTACCACATGACCAGAGAGATCATGACAATGGTAATGTCTAGAGATAGAATGGAATCTATTAAAAACTGCTAACCAACATGGGGATTGGGGAGAGAGCTCAGTGAGCACGGAGCTTGCCATACAAGCACAAGGATCTGAGTTCTATCCTCAGCACCCATGGAAAAAGCTGAGCAGGGTGGAGCATAACTGTAATCCAGGTACTTAGGCAAGACTGCCATTAATTTGGCTAGCCCAGGCCATAGAGTGAGTCCAAGGTCAGCATGGGCTAGAATGAAATCTTGTCTCAAAAAACTCGAATAATGCCAGCTATGGTGGCATATACCTGTATTCCAAGCCTTCAGAATAGAGGCAGGCAAGTCTAAGGCCAGCCTTGTCTACATACATGTTACATGGCAGACAGGGAAATATAGTGAGATCTTGTCCCCAAAAGAGCAAAATCAGGCCAATTTATCAAATGCTTAAGTCATTTCACCAAATATCTGTTTAACTATGTGTATGTTCCTTAGTTTCCTTTACTACGTCTCCTCCACTTCCATTTGTGCCTGTAGACACCTAGAGAAATTACCTGACTATTCTTTAGAATGCTATGAGCACAAAGCTCGTCAGCTTAAGCTCAACAGTTTAAAAGCAAAGTACATGGAACAAACTGTCTAGTGAACAACCTACTTAGCATCACCTTAAGACTGTATCCTGAGCTGCAGCTTACAGTCTCAACTAAACACATGCTTTAAAAAACGGGTCATCAGGACCCTTGTTTTAAAGGCAAGAATGACCACCCAAAGGTAAGCGCAGAATTTTTAGTCCCAAAACAATGCCAGCTTTGGCTAGCCCACAGCTGGAGAAGTCTGTCAGAATAGACAGCACTTGTAAAAACATGTTACCTGAGGAGAAAAAAGAGGCACCGGCACAGAAGTTCGATGTCGGAGCCCATCTGAATGAATTCATTGAGTAGTTTAAGAATGTCTGGGACGTAAGAGAATGGCAGCACAAGCAGAGCCTCTTCTAGTTCACTGAGGAGGAAAAAAATGAAACATCACATTCCATAACACTATCAAGGACTCTATCTTCCCCTTGATTTTTCTTCCCGCTTTTATACAACAAACAGGTTGTTTTCCACTAAAAGTTTGACAAAATTAAAAGGCAGATAAGTGTCAGTTCCACCTTGTACTTCCCACTCAAACACTCCCTAACTGTCCTGGTCAGTTACAGCAGCACTAGGACTTACCTAGACTTGACCCCTTTAAAGGTCTCTAACACATATGCCGAAGGCTACGAAGGAAGAACAGCAGCATTAGTGAATAGTGAAGCTCGTGTGTACATTCTCTCAGTCCATCCCACTTGAGAAAAGTGGCCTACTATGGCAGGGCTGTGTGTGCTTGGAGTTAGCCAGATTTGGGGTAATAATTAAGCTATTTCCTTTATTGACTACACTCCCTTGTAAGTTGGGCCTGTTTCATATCTAAACAAGATATTCTGAGATTATTGTAATGAATGAGACATCCAAGTAAAATAGCAAATTAGCAACTCCTAGATGAACATACTCTTCTGATACACCTCCTCCCTTCTTCCTGATGGGTTTTGTCAATTGCTCCTCTAAAGATATTTATCTACGTTCATTTAAATGAACAGCTCTTCAGAGGGCTGTGGATTCTGAACATAAGGAAACGCTCAAGGTGGAAGAGCCAGGCTGGTCTAACCCAGACACTTCCTTGGGAGCTTCACTGGTAGCCCCTTGAGATGCTGTGGGAGCCCGTTTTCAGGTTCCTCGTGGCTTTACCCAGCAGGTCGGCATAGAGAGGATGAATGGACCATGGGCCTGAGTGCAGGTGTCCGTGATGGTCTGCACTTGGTTGTGCTTGGGGGGAGGGGGGGTTGTCTTTTGCTCCACCCCTTGGCGGTTCTATAAATACCTTAGGGCAGAGACAGTCAGGGCTCATTGGAATAGGTTCCAGGCCCTCTCAAGCCTATCCTGTATTTTCTGTTTCTCTCCACACTCTAAATCCTTCTATCTAATATTTCCTGCTGCTCTCACTCAAGAAAACTCCGGGGAACTGTGGGGTTGATGGGTAGCTGCCCCGCAAGATGCAAGCTGTTCTAGAGGACACCAAAATTCAGGAAAGACTTTTGGAGACAAAGGACTTCCTAGGGCATCTACCCTCAAATCACAATGCCTTCTTATTCCCTTTCTAGTATCTGAAGTTAACCCTTGAACCACCAAAGGAGAAACAAACATCCTACTCACAGAAATATTGCCATGAGCCATCAGGATGGGGTTGACAGGAAGAGGAACCTATGAAGAAGTTATTAAGTCAAATCATTAAAAATAGTTTTTGATGAAGCTTGTTGCAGATGGGACATTAGTGGTATTTTAAAACTTTGTAAAAGATCTTAAAACCACAAAGGGGGAAAAAAAAAATCACACCTTGCAGTTCTGAATGGATGGATGAATGAGTTTAGGCAGTATATTTTATCTAAAAATCTGAAGCTGATATCCTGTTTTGCTAACTCATGTAGGAACACACATTTATACTAATCACCTTGATCGCTTATTTCCTATCCTTTTCTTCTTTTATATAGAAGCCTCTTGGCTCCCACAGTTCCTCTACTTTTAATACTTGAATGACATAACATTTCCTGCTTTTACCACATATCCTTATCTAAGTTAAGTTTGAAATGAGCTCCTTCAGAATTCTTTTGGTAAAGATTCCCCAGTGCGTAACTTGATGGACAGCTCACCTCTTTCCCTGCCGCTCTACAAATGGCTCTGTGTTCCTTCATTTTTGCAGTTTCTTCTCGGTACAGCTCGATGGCCTCCATGATCCTCTCAGCCTACACAGACGACAGCAAAGGAAGAGATCATCCCAGTGCACACCCATGAACCCAAGACATAGAAACAGGAAGGCGTGGCTAATGATAGCCTGAATCAGCTTAATAAAGACATGCCAGTTAGAGTGCAATGCAGCACTTACAGTTGTCAGTATTTTTCTTATTTTCACTTTTTTTTTTTTTTTTTGGTTTTTCGAGACAGGGTTTCTCTGTGCAGCTTTGCGCCTTTCCTGGGACTCACTTGGTAGCCCAGGCTGGCCTCGAACTCACAGAGATCCGCCTGGCTCTGCCTCCCGAGTGCTGGGATTAAAGGCGTGCGCCACCACCGCCCGGCTATTTTCACTTTTTAAGAAAGAGACAAAACAGCAGGGACTCAGAGGAGACCACATCGGGACACAGAGCAGCTCCTGGGAATACCAAAGGTGCACTTTCAGGAGGAGATGAGCTTCCCTCACAAAGAGCCACACACTGGTCAGATGCAAGACCAAGGGCATCAGACAAAGGTGATGATCAGCTCCTGGAGTTCATCAACTTCTGTGCCACACAGGCAGGGTTATGCGGCTGACATAGGGTAAATGTTTTACTAAAAAGTCAGAATCCTATTACATGATGATACAGCACTCTGTCAACTTACTGCTTTGACTGTTTCAATCGTTTTCTTCCCAGTGAAGTAACTGTCACCTTGAGTCTCCCCTGGAACCTGCCAGAAGTAAGAGATCCTGAATGAACAAGACGGGTACTATTTTATAAAATTACCAGTCACTATCTCCCATTGAGGATAGGCACAATATTAAATGTTTTATTTGTACCATCATAAGCATTATCCTGCAAATGTTTATAAAGTATCCAACTTCTCAATCTTTTTTATTTAAATTTTTTGTTCTGCTCAATAAATAATTCCTTATAAAATTTCATTCAAAAAAGAAAGTCATGATTAGAATCCTCATACAAGCTGTTCACAGAACTAACTTTGTAACTGAATAAAACATCACACAGATTCTCACATTAGCTGGCAGTGCCTCTGGTATCTAGTCTCAATTCCTATCCATTACAAGTTCTTGAAACTATGGAATTCCAGTATCCCCAAAGATTCACTTACTGCTGGCTGGTCTTCTTTGGCCACACTCTCCTCATACTCGGCTTCCCTTTGCTGCCAAGAGACACACACAAATTATAAGGAGGGAAAGCAGAGACTGCAGAGTGAATGAAGCAGTGGAAAGGGCTTCTTTCGAAACACCATGACTCCAACAGCAACTGTGTCAACCGGGCTTCTGGAATGGGCGGCACTGGTCCTGCAAACACCTCTTGTGTGAGTGTGACTACACTAGATAGGAAACTTCAGCAGGGGCAGTCTGTAAGCCATCACCACCAGATGTGAAAACAAACTTAAAGGTCTTACCATTTCCCTTTCTTCCTCAAGAATAAGAGGTTCTCTCGTTCTCTCCCAGAGTCTCAGAGATTTGTCATGAGATGCTGATACAACGTAGTCTCCACTGGGGCTGACAGCCAAACACCATATTTCCTGGTGGTGCCCCTAGGCAATGAAAAACCAAACCAACCCAAGGAAGTGTAACTTACTTACTCTTCATTTACTACCCGCGTATGCAAGGTAAATATTCTTACAGGAAGTTCGTAAAGCACTGATCAGGGACAACAGGCAAGAGTTACCTCCAGCGTTTGGATGTGCTCAAACTTGTCTGCATCCCACTGCTTGATCTTGCGATCCTTCCCAGCGGTGAAGAAGAGGTGAGACTTAGGTACAAACCGTAGGTACATCACACTAAGAGTAGAAAGGTAGGTGTCAGGAACTCCAGGTCAGTAAGCTAGGGCACTCTTAACTAGTTAGGAATGCCTATACTCTAGAAATTTCAATTTATCGCTACCTGAGAACATCAAATAGATCCTTTCAGAAGACGACACCCACCTGTCATCGTGCGCAAAGAGAGACCTGTGGCAGTCCCCAAAGTCCAGGCCCCAGATTTTCACATTTCTATCAGCAGAGCCAGTTGCTATTAGTGCTCCATCCTATGGCACAGAAACAAAATATTATTTAATGTTTGATTAAACTAGACAATTAAAAGCTAACCAGAATAAACTCATTTCTTTAAAAATATTAAAATAGAGCAAAAAAATTTCTTCTTTACCCAAAATACCTGTGCTTGGACTTCTAGAGCTTCTTAAAACTTGGAAAGTAAAAGCATGGACTATGAACTCTTACCCTTTCATATGAGAATGCCACAGCATAGTGCTGTGCTTAATGTCAGGTGATCTATTCAGTTAAGTAAGAAAAAGGGGTGGCTCTAAACTCTGGAATGAGATTTGTGCAGAGAGTAGGAAAAGTAAAGAGAAAATGAGGTTGGAAAAGAACCTACTAGGTTTTTGACCTAGCCTTGTATCCCACAACCCCATCACTATTCTCTCATGCCTAGGTTCAAATAGCTGTGTTAATACAAGGATCTCACAGCCATGGGCTCCATTAGTTCCCTTTTGGTGCAAAGTAGATACTTTTCAAATATTTATTCTCACTTGTAATCATCAGGGAAAAATGTCATTCCAAAGACAGAGTATTCATATAAAGCAGAATACTACAATCTTCAAATCCTCACCAGTGTTGTCCTATAGCAAAAGGGTGCCTCTGTAAAGCCATGTATTTTAGGATGTTCTCCCAATTATGGAATTTAAAGCATCAATCTGCCAGAGCCACAACAGGTAGTTTGAAGAACTTAGATAGTATTTATGAAACATTAGTGTGTTTATGCTATGACAATAATACAGACCTGTGACTTTTTGGAGGAAGGTGTAACAAACTCAACAGAATGATGCAAGTGCTGTACAATCAAGCAGCACACCACACATTGAGAAAAGTGTCTGGTTTGAAGTAGACAACCCACAAACTTTACTTACATGGGAGATGTCCATGCATATAACAGGCAGTTTGTGTCCATACAATGAGAGAAAAAACTAAATGTAAAGAAAGAATAGAAATTATTCATGTTTGTCTATAAAATACAATTTGTTACAAATGGAGCCAAATATAAATTTATAATACTAAACACATTTCTGGACTGCATGTTAAGAGTGCCTGTATCCATTATGCAGACCCTACATGTGCTTGCCAAGAACATTAAAGCCCAGTGAAGGAAGTCAGGCTCCCCAAAATCTACACCTCAGAATCTATCTCTGAGACAGTTTTTTCACAGATTATCCTGAGGCCCAACGCAGTCCTGAGACTTGGGTATAGGGCCCAGTGCCTCTGTATCTAGCAGTACTTTTAAAGCTATTAGCTATGACAGGATAGGGCTTTCTGTCTACATATCTTCTGAACACATGAACTAGTGCTTGTTTTAAATAAAACTGATGAATTCTGTGACACTATTAGTTTCTCTAGTACACTTAGTGTTCTGATAGACACATTCTTAGAAATATATTATTGCTGGATATCGTCCGAATTTTTTCCCCTTATACTGAAAATAGATTCTTTTCTCACATAATATATCCTGATTAGTTTCCCCTCCCATCCAGATCCATTCCCTGTCTGTCTCTAACTAGAAAGAATAGGCTTCTAAGAGATAATAATAAAATTAAAAAAAAATGATTAAAACAAAAGCTATCACATTGAATCATCCCAAATTCTTAAGGTCACACAGAAAGACTATTCCCAGCCAAAACCATTGTACCTTTAAAGTATCAACATAGAAAATCTTCACAGTGCAGTCCAGCAAAGACACAGCCAACAGCTTTTGATTGGGAGAGTAATTAACACACAAGACATCCTCATCTAGTTGCAAGGTTCGAGTCTGCTTCACAGAAAGTCTACCCAGACACATGGAGAAAGAAATAATAGATGAGAACTCCACAGACACCCAGTTCCACACTTGACAGAGCCGTGCAAATCAACAGTTCTCCACTTCATTCTGAAGCCCATACACAAATGTCCACTCACCTCTTCTGGGTACTATTTTTATCTGTCACCAACTCAAAGTCCCAGAACTTGACAGCTTTATCAGCACCACCTGTCACAAAGCCACGCTGAAAAGTAAATGACATTTCAGTTAAAAGACTATTTTAGCACAAAAGCTTTGCTAAGTACACATATCAGAATAGTTTAAAACTCTTTTTACTTAACAGCAGATGATAAGAATTAAGAAAAATGTAACTCACCCACCCCTCCACCCTCTCATTCCTCCTACCCCCACTCTACTAGGGCCGCTGCCAGACCTCATTTGAGAATTCCAGCACAGACTAACACTGACAGACTAGGTAATTTCTGAAGTCCTAGGTAACTTCTTCTTATCATGAATAAGAAAAGCCTTTAAGGAATACTATGGAGTTTCCTTTATTTTTATTTTTTTAACTTTACCTAAGAGAGCAGAAGTCAAATGAATTTACTACAAAGCAGTAAAATTAGTTTAACAAACATGTACTGGGTAAATAGTCCATTTCCAGGGTTCACCTCAGAAAGGTATGAACTATTCCTGCAATGTCCCTGATTCAAGCACCTTCGCAATGGTTTTCCAAGTCAAGAAAAACCAACTGCAGTCTATTCTGCGCCATCTCATAGCACACATAGCCACATGTCTATCATACTAAGTGACAGTGGCTACTCTAAACGCTATTTACTTTTTCCAAAAATACATACTTTCAGTGGATAAAGGAGCACTATCATTGAGAATACTTAGATAAATGCCAAAGTATGGTAAGACAAAAACAAAAACATAAACACCCAACTCAAAATGTCAGAGCAGCAGCTCTATCAGGATCAGTGAGTAGTTCTCCAGGTGACAAAGCACCAGGAATGCAAGCACTTCTTACTAAAGGATTTCTCTAGTCATCACTGGACTAAAGAGGGAATGGGAAAGTGTACTTCACCCTCTGCACTGTGGTAAGAAAACGTTTCCCTCTGTAAAGTACTACAAACCACCGTTGAAAAATAGCCATGCTACTGAGAATCAACAGCTGAACTAGACTCAATTTTGCAATGGAAGCTATTCACATTACAAGTGTGTGTGAGAGGACATCTTTGTGAAATCTAAAGATTAGAAACACAGGGGAGCTTTCTTTAATGCAACTGGAAGGAACCTTTCTTAGGCAACTAAACTAGACAGTGCAGCCGGAGTGCCGAAGCCCAGAGCTTTAGAGCCCATTGCAGTTACCTGATCTGGAGAAAGAGACATGGACCATAAAGCTCCACCATGGGCAGCTATCGTCTCCAAGAGATTGCCTGAGGCCAGGTCAAAAAGCTGCAGATTTCCCATCTAGGAAAGTGAACAGGGCTGTAAAGAACACATCTACAAACTTCATGATTCATGCCCAGAGTTTAGAAAAGCAACAACAACAATGTGGGATAACTGCTCAGAAAATGGATCCTGTCTAAATACTGTCTGTATTCCTCATCTGAAGACAGACTGCGACCCACTGGAACATGCAGTTAACATTGGCTGGAATGCTTTCCCATATAGCTATGGAAAGTACAACCTTGTAGTTTCTTGACTCTGCTGCTTTTCCTGGTTCTACAACTTCAAAGGAGAAACACCATGGCTAGGGACAAATCTGAGCAATTCAAATGGAAACTTCATTTTAAGGTTTCTCCCACACTTTAAGTGGACCACCCAAGCCTATAGTGATTGTATACCAAGATTTTTTTCCACTAGTTTTGGTTTCTTCCTTCTACAATACACTGACAGCGAGAACTAGAACTCTACCATGACTCCTGTCTAGACATCTGTATATGCCATGATGCTGCTCTTTCTAACTTTATGACTGCTACAGAATTCATATCCAGGAATTTGCTTGTTATAGAACAGAGTTTGCATCACTAGCACCTGAGACATGTCATGAGGATCACAAGAGCTATGCAGTAACTGCCCTGTACTGTCCAGGCCAGGGACTGCACATTAGCCTTACAGCAGTCCTCAGACAACAACAAAGAGCATGTGGACACTTGTTGAAGGATGGATGAAAATGGACAAAACTTTCAATTGGAATGTTATTCCCTCAACAGGACCTGAAACTCTTTCCAACATTTTATACTTCTTGCCAGGCAAGAAACAGTCACTGTGGCATGTTGGTTTCTTAATAAAAAGCATATATATTTGACATGGGATTACAGGGATAAGGATAACACATACTTGAAAAATATTTTCAAAACACCCCACAACTGAATACAGTCACAGCATTTGGAAGCTGAGACAGGAGAATCATAAATAAGTTTGAGGTAGCCTGAGCTACAAAGAAAATCTCTGTCTCAAGACAAACACATGCCCCATAAACCTTATTCCATTTTATTCTCACTACTTGCTTTTGCTGTGATCAGTCTGTTTATTGTGCATTCCAAAGAAAGGAAGGCTAACAGGACTAAAACAATTTTTCAAAGGCTGCAAAGTTACTAAGTGCCAGAGTATTCAGATGGGGTTCTGCAAGTGACATCATTACTATATAGCTGAAGCAGCCTTCTCTAAGAGGTTTGAAAGACAATCTGAATCCAAATCCGCATCTGCTCATGGCTGTCCCAAACTGATGACAGTCTAAGAATGAAGACCTGGTCAGCTTGGCTTTCTATTACCATGTTCTGTCAAGCCTGATAATATATTTTATTATTTATAACTAATATATCTTACCATCAATTAAACACAATTACACACGTCTGTAAGATGTATGAAGGATAATCATCAAAATGCTAATGGAAGTTAGCTCAGTATTGACTTTAATGTCCTTCTTTGTAATTTGACAGATGATTTGATTTTTTTAAACAAGAAAATGAAATTTTAAAAATACCAGAAAAGATCCATAAACTATTATCTACCTCTAATATAGTCATTACCAACATGCTCTAAAAAATCCAAATTCTCCAGCATCTTTTGAGATGCTGAGTAGAAAAGCCCCAGCTTTACCTTTGTTCCTATGACCACCTGCCTATCACCAGGAACGAAAAAAGAGCAGAGAGCATATTCACAAGGCATCGTACGGATACACTGCAGGGTAGACCTATAGGAAAGAAGGGACAGGGAATTCATGAGAAAGGAATCTTAGAAGTCAGTGTTTCAATGCCCTGAGCCACATAGAGAGACTGAAACGACAGAAGACAAGTCTAAGTCTTGGCTCACATTCATTTTAGTCAAGGAAAAAAATATTATGGACCAATTTTGATTTCTTTGGAGAATAAAGCTGCCATAAAGAGATCATGCTGGGTGGTGGTGGTGCACGCCTTTAATCCCAGCTCTAGTGAGTTGGAGGCCAGCCTGGTCTATAGCTAGTTTCAGGGCAGCCAGGACTATACACAAAAACCCTGTCTCAAAAAAGAACCAAAAAAAAAAAAAAAAAAAAAAAGAGAAAAAAAAAAAGAGAGAGAGAAGCAGAGGAAAGCAAAGTGTCAGCTGGTCTCAACAGGGCCCAGTCTCCAAGGCCTAGGAGAGCAGAGTATAGTTTCAGGTTGAAATGGCTTATCTTTACCAATATCTGAAAGTCAATTTTATTATTATTTTTATTTTATGTGTATGTGTATTTAGCCTGCATGTATGTCTATGTACCATATACATGTAGTGCCCTCAGATGCCAGAAGAGGGTGTTAGATCTCCTGGACTGGAGTTACAAATGGTTGTCAGCTGCCATGTGGGTATTGGAAATTTAATCCAGGTCCTCTTGAAAAGAAGCCAGTGCTTTTAATTGCTGAGCTCTCACTCCAGCCCACAAATTCATTTAATATGGCTATTAACATTTATTCATTCAGCAAATGTAGACATACACCTCTTAGGAATGTTTTGGTCAATGACAAACCACATACTTGGAGATCCTGTTAAGACTATAATGGAGTAGAAAATGGCTCAGTGGTTAAGAGCACTTGCTGCTCTTCCAGAGAACCTGGGTTTGATTCCCATCACCCACATGGCAACTTACAACTGTTTGTAATCAAGTACCAGTGGATCCAATACCCAATGCCCTCTTCTGACCTCCATAGGCACCTGGAATGCACATGGTATACAGACAAACACTCATAAAATAAAAATAAATCTTTTAAAAAAATTTTCTTTGCCAGTGTAGTGCATTGTGTATACTTACATTTTTTGGCGAAGCTGATGTATGTAAACCTACTGAGATGAAATTTGTATAAAATATAGCACAAGTGATTATGTACAGTATATAATACTGATAATAACAGATGATTTTTGTTTGTTTGTTTTATTTTTGGTTTTTCGAGACAAGGTTTCTCTGTGTAACAGCCCTTGCTGTCCTGGAACTCGCTTTGTAGACCAGGCTGATCTCAGGTGATCTTAGTGAGATCCACCTTCCTCTGCCTCCTGAGTGCTGGGATTAAAAGCATGCATCACCATGCCTGGCTTGTTAGTGATTTTTATATTTAGTATAGTCTAATTATATAAAAGTTTTCTATAAAAGAGCATATACCTGCCCTAGCCTTGCATACTTCCTGTTTACATACAGACAAAGCTAAGTTAGCAGAGATTAGCTAAATAACATTCTATGAGAGCACACAGAGTATTATTCTAGATGGTTCCAGTTTTTCACTAAACTAGGAAGCATTATCATCAGCTTTAAGGTATTTGAATTATCTGAGGTTTGAGGTAAAAGGAAGGAGGTCAAACAGCTGAGGAAAGGAAAAAAAAGATGAAAATTAATGTAAATTTCGGATGGTATTAGACTTGAATAAAAAGGAGCAATGACTGTACGCTCTCTTCCAGCCAAATGTAGCCAAAGCTCCAACACACACACACACACACACACACACACACACACACACATTTATTGGGATGGAAGTCAACTTGCAAGAGCCAGTTCTCACTTTCTACTATGTGGGTTCCAGGTCCTTAGTGGCAAGTAGCTCCACACCAAAATCTGATATAAGCTCTGTAGACCAACACCAAAATGCATCAATTGTATCTTTTGACTGAACTGTATTTAGGTTCTTGAGGATAAGAGCCAATCGGCCGGAATACCAAAAACATTTCAAAGAAAAGGCAATTCTACTGGACAGATACAGGAAACATCACTTCACAGACCTGTTCCATATCTTAATGGACTCAGCTGCAGCTGAAAGCACAGCTATATTATCCGAGCTGAAGGACAAAGTGCGCACATCACTGCGATGGCCTCCAATGGTGATCCTGCTTGTCCTGACAGGCTGAGGGGTCGGCAAGGATGCATTGAGAGAATATAATTCCACCAGGTTGTTCTGCAGCAGGAAGACTGCCTTTAACTCTCCTTGAGGTGAATGAATCAGGTCAAAGGATCTGCATGGGAAAGTCATCACAAACATTCCAGCTACTGTCTTAACTCATGAAGTCAACATTGACTCATGAAGTCAACTTTTTTTCTAAGAAAAGCCTAGTGATGTCAATCTATAGTTTAACCATGTATATAGAATTTTAGATATAATACTGTTCTGGGTATTGAGCAGCAGTTGAGCATAGGCTTAAAAGATTTTTATTACTTTTACTTATTTGAGTGTGTATGTGTGTATGTATACATGTATATGGACCACAACTGGAGTGTGGGGGGCTAAATGACAACTTGAAGGAATCATCAGTTCTCTCCTTCTACAGTATGGGTCCCAGGGACCAAAGACAGGCTGCCAGGCATGGCAGCAACATGTTTCTTTACATCTGTTGAACCATCTCAGAAACCACAAGCATAGGATTTTAAAGTAAAAAAAAGCAATAAATAAATAAGTAAATAAATAAAATCTGGTCTCAGCTCTTAGTTTTGACACATTTTGTTTCTGTGTTGTGTTGTAGTTGTAAGATTTAAAATACTTTCTGAACAAAGAATAACATTTTTCTTAATTGGCAGCCTGAAAGAATCAATTAAAAAAAATAGGCATGTGGGCTTGTGAGTATGACATGATCACCACCTTCAAATGTAATTCACACACATGTTGGCAAATACCATGACAGTGCCAGGGACACTTGGTAGCTTATTACTCTATAATACTTAAGACACTAAATCTTCCTTACTTGATCTTGGAAGAAGTCTTGATATTGGCCACCCGATGGATCTCATCCTGCAGTGTCATTGAGACACTAGTTTCAGGGTCCTCCTCCCCACTGGCAGAGTTCAATCTAGGAAGGGAAACACACCTAAAGTATCACCTATTGATTTTCCAGGAGCATCCTCACTCTTGCCACTCGCATTCTGGGACAAACAAGTGGATGATTCTTGGGGAGTGGCCTGGCCACCAGGGTCACCTCGAGAGCTGAGCAGACTACAGTGTACTAATCACCCTTAATAAACAGACTGGGAATGCAACAGGCCCATGACATCTCCTGCAATTATTTGTCACCCAAGTCACTGCACTGAAGTGTTCCTGGTGGACTTCTCTAGCTAGTTCTTGAACTTTCTCAACAAGTCTCTAGCCTGCAATTAGTTGGACTTTGTCATGTGAGCTAGAACACATCTAAAAACATTTGCTATCATATGATTTTAAAAATCACTTTTAAATTTGATAAATCACCCATTAAAGAATTTTTTCTTTCTTTTTTTTTTCCCCAGGTATGTTTGTGTGGAGGCCAGACACCCATGTAGGATGTCTGTCTTCCTCAACCATGCTCCACTTTAAGACAGTATTTTTTAGAGAACCTTAAGTCCTCTGGTTCTTGCTGGGAGCTGCTAGTAGCAATGGCTTTACCAGAGGCTACAAGAAAATACAGCAGATAACTGATATTCAACAAGTTGACCTATCAAATGAATAATTCTGATGGGAGCCCCACTTGGCAAAGACCATGGGGGTCATTGACTCAATCCATTTGTTTCTGCCTGTAATTTTCCTCATGTGCCACTTCATTTCTTCCCTAAAAACTGCTCTGGGTGTTTTCCCACTGCTTGTGTGCTTATCTCATGTACATATTCCATCTATTAGGCACACATACAGCTGCAGATGGTCAGGAAGATGATTTCTGCTTAAGCTATATAATTCTAATGAATAGAAATAATACTAGGATATTTTTCTTTATTCAGATCGACATAGGAAAGTCACAAACAAGCCTTTTACACATTTAGCTAGACCTCAGAACAAATTCAAAACAGACTAGCTGCCCCTGCAGATAAAATACACAAGGACAAGTTCCCAGGTGTTTATTGCTGAATCAAGGTCAGACTTGAAGCAACTTTGTTAACTGACTTTCTGCACGCACTCCTTACCACTCAAGGTTCAGCCAAATAACTGTTTATTGCTTAGGTCCTGGGTTTCAATATTACTTTCTACCTAGGAACCCTGACCACTTAGAGCTACGTGAATGGCCAAGCATTACTCACTGGCCAGTCAGTGTGACCTCCCTAGCCTGAGAGAAACTGTGACTTACTATTGTATGTTATGAGAATGGGTCAGCCCCTGAAAATGTAACATATAATTGTCCAGAGTTTGGCTATTGAAGTGTGTGTGTGTGCATGTGTGTGTGTGTTCAAAGGGAAATGTAGCTGGGAATGCACAGAGAGCTGAGGAGAGACGATGAATAGTGAAGCAGAGGAGAGAGCTGTGTGAGACAGCTGCTGCGATGTAGGTGACAGAGCTATATGAAAGAGATGTGTGCAGAGGAATGCGTGTAGAGAGAGATTTGGAGCTATGTAGAGAAGAGATGTAACTGTATATAGAAGTATACGGCTATGTGGAGAATGTAACTGTGAAAATAGATGTATGTAAAGAGATATAACTTGTGGAGACAGAGAGAAGAGAAAGATTTTTCAAGATGAAGTGAAAGAGAAAGTTCCCATCAGAAACCAAGTGTGTTTCCTTATTTTCCCCTCAGATAGAAGTCTAGCCCTCAGATAGGTAAGAATTTTCCCTAAGCCCTCGCTACTCTGAGGCATTCTTTCTGCTACCCTGGGTGTAGTTGTGGAGGCTGGTCCTCGCGGGCTGCGTTAGGTTCTTCTCCTGACTGGCCAGTAAGCTGAAGAATCTCCTGACTGCACCTCCCTGGCATTGACACAGATACATTCCCAGTGTGCCTGGCTTTAAAAATCTGCAGTCTATTTCTGTGTGGGTCTTAGTGCGACTCAGAAATGTGTTAGGAATAAAGAAGTATAAATCAGAAATCCAAACCTTATGGTACTAGTACCCCACCAACTCTCTAGTTTTTAGCTCTAATATGTAATCAAGTAAATGTTTTAAAAGTCAGTTTCTCTATAATATATGGCTACCCAGGATGTTTTTTATCACTATTTTTTTTTTTCTTATAAACATACTTTGCTTTCTTTCTAGCTTTTTTCAGCTTCTTATCCATTTTCTTCTGAACTTCCGCTTTGGAAAGGATACAAAATACTTCTAGTACAGAATCAGTTCCCTAGAAAGGCAAAAGGCAGGCAATGTGAGTCTAAGATAGGCAGTTTATAATTTAGCTTATACCCAGTAAGAACTAACCAGCATTTAGTTTTCCCTAATTTATCTGTCTTCCCTTACTGGCTGGATCATCATGAATAACTTAATCTGCCTGGGTGTGTTGTCTCGTCTCTAAGTGAGAATATTACTTCCCACTCCGTGCTCCTTTGAAGGCCAAACAGCATGCACCTTTCACAATGATGAGAAAAGCTAGTCTTTAATAAATGGTTGCTAACAACAAAGGTATTTACTTTTACTTATGTTACGAATGTTATGCTAGGACATTAGACACACAGGAATATACACTAAATTTTAAAGTGTGTGTGTGTGTGTGTGTGTGTGTGTGTGTGTGTGTGTGTGTGTGTGTGTGTGTGTGTATGAGAAGTGTAGGTGCCTGCAGAGGCCAGATGTGTCTGATCAGAGCCCCTAAAGCTGGAGTCACAAGTGGCTGAGAACAGTTCAACATGGACAATGGGATTCAAACCTAGGCTCTCTGCAAGAGCATTACTTAGTCTTAACCACTGAGCTCTCATTCCAGACCCATTTTCTGAATTATTAAATAATCCAAAGACAAGTCCAGGCCCATACTGAATTATGAAAGAATGAGTATCGAAAGAACAGTCTTACTGTTCTGTAAGCCTGGTACTCACGTGGCAAGCAAGAATCCTGCCTGTCTTGTCCACGGCAAGGTTGACAACTCTGTCCCTTCCTTCCCGCATTATGGAGCCAGCCTTTCTGCATGAAAGGATGCGCTACAGAGGAAGCAAGAAAACGTGGAGGTTAAACATCTGTTCTGTTACACCTCTGAAAAGACATGAATTTAATATATACAGGTGACAAAACACTCCCGAAAATGATAATTGGAGATGGTTGTACTAAAACCTGTCCTTTCTTGCCATACTAACAAAGCTCAACCAAAGAAACAAAGTGGATTACATCTTCAGAAGCTTCATCTGTCTCAGGGGTACCATCCTCTGCTTCAGGCATGTCCTGTATTCCAGAACACTCTTTGATTTTCTTGGGCTCTGGTTCTTCTGGGTCATCAATCTATTTTGTAAAGATCAAAGAATAAAAGTTAAAATGTCTCAGGGATGACTTTTAACCCCAATGATCGAGAAGCTCTCTTAGAACCACTTACATCTTAACTGGTGACCTCTGATAAACTTCTTCAATGTCTGGACAAGTTTCAGAATTTATTAGAAACTGGCATTATATACAACAAAACATCATCCATTATACTATCTCCACTGACTTTCCATAATGTAAGGACTATATATGAGCAGATAATGGTGTAAAAACAAATGGCTCAACCCTTCCTTAACTTCAAAATTTTCTCTTTGTAGGAAAAGATATTCTAGAGTGAAAGTCTGCGTTTAGTATTGACATTGGCAGAGGCAGTGTAAGGTGTGTTACAGTTTCTCCTTAAACACAGGAAAAACAAATGCTAGTCTAAGATATATAAAACCCATCACAGTGGCTACTGGATCTAAGGCTATACACTAACTCCAACTAAGCCTAAAGTTTCTAATCACCCCCCTACACACACAGACACACAGACACACACACACACAAATTGAGAATCACTGTAAATCTCCTGAGAATATATCTGTGTACAAGAACGCATGCATCCTACATAGACTGCTGTTTGAAGAGAAAGTCCTCTGAAGTCCACCTTCATATGTCCATAGGTCCAGGAATACAGGCTGAAATGCCACAACCTAAACAACACTATTACCAGAAGCTCTAACCCTAAATCCTCTCTTCTCAGCTCAAATAAACCACAGCAGTGAAGGCACAATGAAGAAAAGTCTCTGTTTAGAAGTTTTAGGTCATCAATGTAAGAATTCTTTCTATCCCATCTGATTCTGTGTCAATGAGATGATGAACTGTGAAAACTAGCAACTGGACATGATCTGAACACAGTAATTACCTCTTGCAGATAGGCGATATCCCAGGCTCTCAGCTCACTGTCTGCAGCCCCAGTGATTAGTCGCTTTTCTTCTGAAACCAGAACCAAGCCCCACACCTAAGAATACAGAACAGTTTAATCATTTTTTTAATACTCCAAGTGGATAAAAAAAGCATTGCAAAAGTGTATGTTCACTATAATGAAGTCTCTCTGGCATTCCAAATCTAAGGAAAAGTGTATTAAGGAGATCTTTTAAAATCCACTAACTGAAGCACTTTTCCAGTGGGGGAAAGGCCTGTGGTGAAACTGCTCATGTGGTACTAGGAGTTTCTCCACATTCCTATTGTTCTGTTTAGATAATAGCTACTCATCACAAATCCTAAGCACAGTCCATGATTCCAGGTCTCATATTGTTTTTGGCAATGTCTAACAAATAAAAGGTGCCTTCATAATTCTCAGCTTTTAGCATCCAAGAATTAAACAGTGACACAATGATACTGATGCCAGTCAATTTTCATAGAATCCTCTTTCCACTTCATTATTACCAGTATGTTTTTGAAAACCTGACATAAAGGGAGGCAAAGATATTTAAAATAGCCTCTAAACTTGGCTGAATAAATCATAAAACATAAACTACCCTTCTGGTGTACGTATGCTCCCAGAAAAGGCACTGTCTACATAATATCATTAAATGTCTCTACAATTGTGGCTATTCTTGGTTGTTGACTACATCTGGAATTAACTAAAACTCAAATGATTTAGCATACCTGTAGGGATTTTTTCTTAACTAAATCATTTGAAGTGGAAAGACCCACTTCTAATCTGGATCTTTGAGGTGGGAAGATAACACCTTTAATCTGGCCACACTTTCTGCTGGCAGCCTATATAAAGGACATGAAAGAAGGAAGCTTGTTCTCTCTTTGCCTGCTTGCTCTCACTCTGACTAGCAAATCCATTCCTTGACTGGCACTATAGCCTACTTCTTCAGGATTCTGGTATCTACGGATGATCAGCTAGGATATCCAGCCTCATGGACTGAACAACACATAGATTCTTGGAACCTTCCACGGGTTGACAGCCATTGTTGGGACTACCTGGATCACAGCCTGTAAGTCATTCTAATAAATCCCCTTTCTATATGTACATATAGATTCATTCTATAAGTTCTGTTCCTCTAGAGAACTCTGACATAACAGTCATAGGTGAATTTAATTAAAATAATGAACTCAAAGGTTATAAGTCACCCAGGGCTTACGTGTACAAGACCAGAAAAGCTACATCCATTCCAGTGGCTGGCACTGCTTCTTCCCAGCCAACCTCACTATCTCTCAAGACAACACACAGATCAGTGTGAACAGTAAAAAGAACCAGGGAAGGTCAGAGGAGAAACCATCTTTTGTTTTTTGCTTTGTCACACTTCTCTGGAGCCCATGACCCAACACGTACCTCAGTTCGGTGGCCAACCATTGTTTTGAAGCAGTGCTGGTTATCAAGGTCCCACCACTTTACCATAGTATCTTTCCCACTAAAAGAAAAACCAGAAAAAAAAATCTTACTAGGAAGACTCATTAAACTAACAGGGATGTAAGCAACTCACTTGTTGTTCTAGAATAATACAGCAGTAATGCTGGAAGCTATTCTATCTGACTGTCCTGATATGCCAAGAATTCCAACTCCATGTGGCTGCTCTTCCAGGAAAATAAGGAGCTTCACTCCTACACACAGAAATGACTGAGCTACAGAACACACAACCCAATCCATCTGCCTTCCTCCCACCACTTCACTTTACAGCACTGGCATTCTGTCTAACACAGAAACATCTCAGGACCCCACCCCCACCCCCACCCCCACCCCCCCCACCCCCACCCCCGCTCCCTTGTCATCCACATCATCAGTTTTTCCGCACTGGAAACACTTCCTCTGTGTGGTCTCTAAAGTTTGAATGCCAGTCCACATCTGTAAAAACCTGAACGCCTCCTCCAACCTGCATTATTCAGTAGCTCACATGATCTCTTTGCCCACTGCTGGTTTCTCATCCCACAACACTGAGGTAACTTATTTTTAAAGTTTACCAATTTAATGTTCTCCACAGAACCAAGGTCAGGCTCTTCTCACATCATTCTCAAAACCTGTTTGTTCTTATTCCCCTAACTCAGGTGTCTCCCGTCCCTTGCCAATAGGAAACAAATCTCCACTGGGACAGGGTTTGGGGCTCTTCAACTCTTCCTGAGCCACTATAATGTTACTGTAATTACTGCCTGACAAACCTTATGATCTTAGTCTTTCCTGAGTGAACACCTTATGGACAGTGGTTACATTAGGCTGAGCCATATGAAACTGATAATATTTGATCACTTTTGACATTACAAAAATAAAATTCTCAAATGGTTCAACCTAACAGATGTTGATTAGGCCTATGACGCACATTTTTCCTCAAAAGGCAGTCTAAACCAAACATACAGCTTAGAATTCTGCTTTCCTGAATCTAGCGATCCAGAAGATAAATGCCCACTCTATAGAGAATCAGAAAAGAAAATTCCCAAATGCTGTAACTCACTGTGTAACTCTAGCATTTGAGGGTCAAAAAGAAGAGCTGGCAACCTAAGAGGAAGCACCACAGCAGGGAACAATAAACAATGAGGCCAACTCCACATCAAACTCTGGAATCCATCATGTCTTTACCTTGTAACTAGCAGATTCCTTTCTCGTAGGAACAGAGCTTGTGTGACGGCATCCTTGTGTCCCTTTAGACGGTAGAGGCCACTTTCATTGATCACATCCCAAATAATAACATCTGTATCCTTAAGGGATAAAGTAACACATAAGAAAAAACATTCTTCTTACCACAAAAGGTCAAATGTTACAAATAATGGGACTCAATCACTACAAAGACATATACCACCCTGCACAACTTGGAAAGCAGGTTAGGTAGCAGCCTACCCTTTCATCACCGAAAATGAGCAGAGACTTTGTTTTACATTGTTCTGGTTGTATATGCATGAGATCTCTGGGTTATTTTCTTGCTAGAAAACAGAGATTTCTAAGTATGGCAGCAGGCCCCTGTAGTCCTAGCTACGTGGGAGGCAAGCTGAACAGTCCAGTGAGACCCTACATCAAAATCACAAAACAAAATAAAGAAGAAAACAGAGTTCGTGCTATGTGTTCAGCTTACAACCATCTTATTTAATGCACTTTGATAGTTAATTCTGCTCTACTCTAATTTCTAGTGTCACAATTTAAAGTTTATATTTTACACATATGGGTCATTTCCAATTTTCTGTTACTAAAAATATGCAAAACTGAAAATTCACATGCACAAATCTTTGTACATTTATCTTAGTCCATATAAATACTACACTTTGCATCTGTCTATAGAACTATCTAAGATCTGTAAGAGAAGACAAGCTTCCCATCTGTGCACTCTGGGTATTATCACATTTCTGAAATTCTTCAGGGAAGAATGCTTGGTCTTCATAATCACTTCAATTTGTTTTTCTGAACACTAATGATACTTTTGTTTCTGAGACAGGGTCTGATGCTCCCCAGGCTGGCCTTGATTTCACTCTGTAGCTGAGGATGACTCTGAACTTCCGATCTTCAGCCTCCATCTCCCAAGTGTTAGGTTTACAGGCACATGACAAGTTTATGTGGTACTAGAGACCAAAGCCAGGGATTCCTATACACTAGGCAAGTATCCTACAAACTGGGCCATATCTCCATCCCTAATGCTAATTTTTCTCATGATCTGTGGTGAATAATGGCTACCTTCATGGCTTTAAAACTGTTCACTCATGTCTTTTTCATTAATGTTATCTCTTACATGTTATATTTTATACCTTATTTTACTGTAAGTCTAATAGGTAGATGATAGTATTTTATTAAATACTTTCCCCTTTTCTTTTTTTATAACTTTAAAAAATGTGAAATATTTTATGTCTTAAATGTATGTTTCAAATCTATCAATCTTTTCTTCTTTGTGTTTTTATTTTTTGAGAATTTCATATATTTTATCATATTCTCCCCCTCAATCATCCCAGCCACCCAACTTCATGTTCTTTTTCCTCTTTAAAAAAAACAAATCCAAAACCAAACAACAATAACAACAAAAGCACAAGAAACAGAGTCTGATTTGTGTTGGCCAAATACCTGAGCATGGGGCCTGCCTGAAGTGTGGCTGATAGACCCAATCTCACTATACTGAAGAAAACTGCCTGTCCTCCCTCAGGAGCTACCAATTGCAAATAGCTCACTTTCCCTTCTCCTGTGCTGGAAAAACAATGTTTTTTCTGTGCTTTGCTTTTTCTTTGAGAGAGGGTCTCAGTTGTGTATCTCTGGAGGGCATAGCCTGCCTGATTGGCCTGTGACTCACAGAGATGCAGATGCCCCCATCTCAACTGTTGGGATTAAAGGTGTGTGCCAGCATGCCTGGCTCTAACACATTAACTTTTAAAAACATAGGAATAATACTAATTTTACAGAATTCATTGGCAAATTATTACCATCTTCTTTTCCAGTCTTACTTGTTTTATAGTTTGGGGTAGCTCTTCTACAATATGATAGGTTCAGAGTACCTTTGTCTTATTCTTTCATTACACAGACTTTTATCAGTGAACATAACAGGAAACTAGAGAATACCCCTCCATGAGTACCCCCATCTTCCTCACTCTATTTCTCCCGACTGTATATTAGCTTAGCACTAAGAATCCAGTTTCATGTAACAGTTTATGTAAATAACCTGCTTCTACATAAGTGTGAGAAAAAACGCTAGACATCTGTCCCTGAGGCTCACCTTGGACCCAGAAGCCAGTCTTCCTCCTAGCTGATCGTACTTTAAGCTAGTGACAGCTGCTTTGTGTCCATTGAAGGTTATGTTTCCTTCACCACTGAGGAGGCTGAAGATTCGGATGGATCCATCCTCATAACCAACAGCTAGATGCAGCCCATCTGGGGAAGGACACAAGCAAGTGACTTCTTGTTTAAGCCCCTGAAGGATAAGGATCTGAAATCATAAAAACCAACACCAATGCAGAAGAGTGAGGCATGTATCAAGACACAGAGTGGGAATGATTTCAGTAACAAAGTGAGCATTAACAATTTACAGCCACTGATGCACAATGATAAAATTCTACATGCAAAGACAATGAGATTCTCAAAAGGTAATCATTTCATCTCAAGCTTGACATTGGTATACACATGCAAATTATCCAGGCAATGAAATAAGTTACCAAATTTTTATCTTAGTGAATTTAGATAATGGGCTATAAACCTATCCTTGCTTTAACACAACCTCATGGCACTATAGTACTAGTGGTTTCATCCCAAGAGGCTCTGGGTATCAGCAAGTATGTATGTGTGTGTGTATATATATGTATGTATCTATCTATCTATCTATCTGTCTATCTATCTACCAATCTATCATCTCACCTCTCGGGAGTTACACAGTAAACAGGGATGAATCAAGTATCTCTATGTGCTTAGCAAAAAGGAGTAACTTCAATCACAGTCAAAGAAGAGCTCTGCAACTGCTGGATCTCATCAGCATATATAAGAAAAAGACAACTGACACAGTGGAGTAACAGTCCTTTTAAAATCCTAACGTGCCGGGCGGTGGTGGCGCACGCCTTTAATCCCAGCACTCGGGAGGCAGAGCCAGGCGGATCTCTGTGAGTTCGAGGCCAGCCTGGACTACCAAGTGAGTTCCAGGAAAGGCACAAAGCTACACAGAGAAACCCTGTCTCGAAAAACCCAAAAAAAAAACAAAACAAAACAAAACAAAAAAAAAAACCATTGTATAAAATCCTAACGTTTAAAATTGGCTGTGCGCACAAGCAGAACTTGAGAAGTAGAACTTGTAAACAAAAGTAGAAATTAATAAGAGCTACAAGTAACGACCTATGAAAATTAACACAGACATATAAGAAGCCAGCTCCTGTTTGACCGTGTTTTGCAGAACACAGCAGAATGTTTGCTAGCTGTCTAGATAGAAGCAAGGGGGGGTGATCTCTTGAGGGCTCACACACAAATGAATGCAGGCAGGTCAGTCGGGGCTCTTCCACTCTAAAATCAGTGTCAACTTATTCATTTCTGACTCACCTTCTCGCCTTTCCTCAAGTCCCAGATAAAAACGTGCTCACAGGCAGGTACTGCCACATAGCGTCCTTTCTCGCCACGAAGTGTCACAAAAACGATGTTACCTTTTTGGCTACCAATCAGGCCAAAGACAGCACTAGGCACATATCGGAGATACTGTTTGGTAAGCCCCATGTTAGGATGTCTGAAGCCACCGGGAAGGCAATCTGTGCATATAAACAAAATTCAGCTTTGCAGTACATTGGCTCTGGAAGGCTAACAAACACAAACCATTTTTCATATGGTCAAAAGCATATAACTTGGCTCATGGTAAGGTACTTGCTATACAAACATAATCCCTAGCACCCAAACAAAAAGCCAGGCACAGAGAAATGTGTATGGGATCACAGCATTCAGAAGGCAGAGACAGACAGATCCCTAGAGCTCAGAGTCAGCATAGCTGAATCCATGAACACCAAGTTCAGACAGACCCTATGTGTGGAGCAGAGGAAGCCCTGAGTGAATGTGTCCTGTTGACATGAGAACAGCCATGTGAAGGACTTCAAATGCCTCAGAGCCACGAGAGTGGCAACCCCTTCCTCTGGTCCAAGTGGCGATGTTTATAGTATTCCAGAAAATGTCCACTGTAGCTTTCTTGCCCCATGTTTACTGGTTGAAGACTGTTCCTCTACAGACTGCTCCTATTGAAATTAGCTAAACCTGCCTCCTTGTTGATCTGTATGCAATAACCTCTCCTTCCTGTTCAACTGTATGTAATAAACATGATGAGCTTCTGGGGTGCTACAGACTCTCCATCTGAGAGTCCAGACCAACTGATCTCAGCTTTTCCATATGTGTGTCCATGTGTCTGTCTTTTCCTCATCCCCTTGCTTCCCCCAGTCAGGGTTCCAGGGCCCAAGCCACGCAAGGACTGGGCAACCATGTCTCAAGAAGTAAGCTAGAGGTTGACTGAGAAAGACACTCCATATCAACCCTCCATCCTCCACACACACACTACCTCCTCCACATCCACATACTCAGATAAACATGTACATGTGCACATCCAACGACGTGCAACTTGTGACTTCTTAAGCTTTACTGACCTTACTCAACATGAAATCCCTCACCCCTTGAGCATTAAATTGTTGACACCGTCACAATCACCTCATGAACATCTAACACAGAAGCTTCATGGCAGCCATTAAATTCTCTTTTGCCCTGTCAACCACTATCAAAGTTCTCACACCGAAACTGGTAAGCTGAGACCGAATTGTTTCATCAACGATTACTGTAAATCTGGCTTCATGTTTTTTGTTTTTTTTTTTCCCTCACGGGCACCTAGATTAACCCAATAAAGATGAAGGAAAGGGCTAAGAATGTAGCTCAGCTTGCCTAGCATAGTAGAGTCCCTGGGTTAGATCACCAATGCTAAACAAGCCATGTGTGGTGGTACACACCTTTCATCTAGGCACTAGGGAGGCAGTGACAGGGTCTCAGGAATTCAAGGTCACTACGTAAGGAGTCCAGGGCCAGCTTAGGCTACATATGACCCTGTTACCCTATCTCAAAGAAGAAACAAAACAAAAAAGAATTCAATTCTTCTGCAATTATTCCTTCAGCTTAACGAAAGTTGCTCATCAGACACCCTTCTGCAGTATTTTCAGTGGAGAATCCATACAGCATGTTGAGGCTTGGAGACTTCCACATCTCCATTTCTAGCTGTGTCTAGATCCATGAATAGAGTTCCAAGCATTTATAGGACATCCCCCTCAAACACCTTCCATGACTACCTTACTTCCTAAACCCGTCATATCATTTTACTTTAAAACACACAATCTCCCCAGCTATTAAGGTTTAAAACTGTCTACTAACCTTTGACTCATTAAAAAAAAATCACAGTAGCAAGGCTTAGAGTTCTTAAGGTACAATAAATAATTTATTGTGCATTAACACATGCAGTTCTCTAACGGCACGCAGTAACTGCGTTAGCAGAAGCAAAACACTAGAAAAATGTCTGGTACATCGTAAACGTGTGCACAAAAATTCTCTTCAATAACTGAATAATTATTATCAATAATTCTTATCCCCATTGTACAGACAAGGATAATAAACCGAGATGCTTTACAACTAGCACAAAACTCAACCAGGAAGCGCCAAAGCCAGGCTCCAGTACAGCCCATCTAACTGCATTTCATCACCACGCTCGACGCTATGTCTGCCATCTCCTTTGACTGCTTCTCGGACTAGCCTCCGGTTTTCTCTTCGCAGCGCTTTCATTTCCAGCTTGTCATCACTGAGTGGCTGCAGTTGTGTTCTACCCAGCACTTCCACTTCCGTGTTTTTCATTCCAAGTCATAGTAACTCCTCAACTTACCGTTTTCAAATGCACTGTCCCTACCCCAGGGCTTTAAAGGGCTAAGCTGTTCGCCAAATGCAGGGGTCCACGGGTACCCAGTTACTTTAGCCCAGCTACTTCAACCAGCTGCTTATTTCTCAAATAACTTGTTTCTCTTCCTCCAATCTTGTCATGCTCAAATTATTCCCTCGCCTACTCTCCTAAGTTTCTACTGCACATCACCCCCCCAAATACCCCGGAAAAGTCGGGCAATTCCGGCGGCCTTGCACCCGCCGGCCCGGGAGCAGCCGTGTGGCCTTCGGGTTCTGTGGTGCAAACGGCCGCGGAAACAGGACTCCCCGCTGCCTCCCTGGTTCCCACAGCACGGAGTCCTCCGCCGCGCCGGCCCCTCTACAGATCCACAGAGCAGGGAAGCGCGCCCCGCAATCTCCAAGCCGCCAGCAACACTCACCTCAGCTTCCACGAGGCTCCATTAGACAGCCCCGCCCACGGGACCTGCCCCTTCCGGTCCGGTTGGGTGTTTCTTCCGCCCGGCGTTCCTCTTGCCTTTTAGGGCGGAAGTGACGTCGGAACGCTGTGATTGGGCGGCGTGGCGGAGAGGAAGCGGCTGCCTTTGCTGTCAGAAAGCTGAAGCTAGTCACCCCGGCCTCTGGAGACCCACTCCCTTCAGCCTCCGCCTCTGGCAGTCGTTGTGTGCAGATGTCACACGCCCGCCTTCTGCGACGGAGCTGAGCTGCCGGCCGCCGCCCGGATGGGCCCGCCAGAGCGCCGTGAGAGGCGGGCGAAGCCGGGAGGGGAGGGCGGCACGGCCGGGTGCGGCGGCTGGGAGGAATCGGGCTGGCGTGTCGACCTGGGCTTTGGGGCTCACACCCAGTTCAGGTTTGGGCGTGGAGCTCTGGAGGCGCACGTCTCGGGATGCTGGGATGCCGTGTGACGGGCAGCCCTGCGGGTGACAGCCCAAGATTGCGTCCGCCCTGAGCAGACGCCGAGCCCGGGATGCTGAGTTGTCCAGGGACCCCCGCAGTCCCTGGAGTGACATTGGTCTGGCTTTGTGTTTCCGCTCTCAGGCCTCTTGAGAGGGAAGTGACCCTGGGCTGGCCCGTCCTTGATTGTAGACTGAGACTGAGCCGCTCTGTTAACAAGAGGAAATTAGTTTTTCTCTCTTTCACTTCTGCCCTCTTCTATCCTTGGGCTGTCTAGAAGTTTTAGAATGAGCTCTGATGGCTGTAGCTGTCTGTATAGAACTGCAGCTGGCATATAACCATAAAAAGAAATATCTCCTGCTGTCACTTATTGAACAAGCCCTCTGCAGCCAGCCTAGAAATTAGACAGGTAGACAAGTGCAGTTGACAGATTTGTCTTCCTGCTTAATTTTTAGGGATTGTTTATCAGGAATAGTTTTCTTCATGTTTTAAAACATGTTCAGCTCATCTTCTATATTTAAGAAAATTGTTTTAGTGGAGACACATACATGGTGGTTGTAGCAGCATAGGTGTTTTGAAACAAGAATGCCTTTTTTTTTTTGGTTGGATGAATGAGAAGGTAAGAAATTGTGGCGATAGATTTATTTCAAGCAGGGGATGAGCATTTGGATAGGTGTATATGTTCCTTACCTCCTGTAGATGCTGTGCATTACATTGTTAGAGGTGAAAAATGTGTTTGGTGGAAAAATAGTTTAGAAGCTTTCAGGCCAGTCGAACCTTTAGACATTGCCAATTGATGTTGTCATCTTTAATCATGGGATCAAAGCCAAGCTTGGTCCATAACTTGAATCCCAGCACTCAGAAGGCAGCCTAGTCTAGATACGGAGCGCTAAGATAGCACATTTTAACCCCCTTCGAGACAGCTTCTCACTGTGTAGCCCTGAATGCCCTGGAACTCTCTGTAGACCAGGCTGTCCTTGAATTCACAGAGATCTGCCTGCCTCTGCCTCCTGAGTGCTGGGATTAAAGGTGTGCACCTCCAGGACAGTTTAAGATAGCACATCTTAATCTTAGACATTTTCTTATCCACTACTTCAAGGACAGAACCTTACATTCTTATCTAAGGCACCAAGCTGCTCACTGTCTGAAGACTTGCAAACCAAAGCATGCTCAGGTTTGTTTAATGCCTGTGTGACACTGCTAATTCACCATTAGAGCATGTGCTTTGAGTGTTTTTGAATGACGATGTTAAAATTGAACTGGGACCACGAATGAAGTTTAGACATCTTTTTTGTTATAGTGTATTTATTGTTAATATATTTGAGAACTGACACTTTTTCATCTGAGCAGCTTTCCATTTGCATAAAATAACTCTTCAAGTATAACTGATTTGGCATAGGGATGGGTGTGGTGTGTACTTTCATCCCTATATATCCTGAACTTTTAAATATTGAAATAAAAAGCCATAAAGAATAATAAACCTGTAATTAATCAAAAGCAACAAACAAGCTGCTTAATTATTAGAGGTCAGATGCATGGTCCAACTTTATGTACTTTCCATACCTGTCTCATCTACATGAACAACCAACAGACAGCTTGTCATTTTAGAGATTCTCACTTTCCTTTTTGAAATTATACCATACTTAAGAAAAAAAATTTTTTTTTGAGACAAGATCTCTCTACATAGTGTTGGCTGTCCTGGAACTATCTGTGTACGACAGACTGACCTCAAACTCACAGAGATCCGCCTGCCTCTGCCTCCCAAGTGCCGGGATTAAAGGCGTGGGTCACCACTCCTAGCTTGATGCCATTCTTTTTAGCTGTTTGAAAATTAGGTTTTGAGACAGTGATCCAAAGTGTTCTTGCCTAATGCTGCCCAATCTTGAACAGTACAATCTGGTTTCTCTGGGCAATTCAATTCTTTCTGTAAATCATTATTTAGAAGGTTTTTTAAGCAAATGATGACAAGATTAAGGGGTAAATAAGCTACAAAGAACTGTTTGTAGTGTACTCTTTGACTTGTAAAGAATATTTAGTAGCTTCTCTTTGTTTGGGGATCCTTTCTCTTAAACTAATGTAGAAAGAAAGTATTTGGCCTAATACATAGATCTGATCTATTCTTGAGTCCAACAACTTTTGGTATGAGAATATGCCTCAGGAGCCTGTTTTACTAAACTGTAGTGTTTGTTTACAAGCTTGTTCAAAGTTCAGAGCTGACCAATTGATTTCCAGTGGGAAGTATTTTTCCCTTTAGTATTATCCAAATTATGGTTAAGGTTATAGAATACTGTAGTTATCTCTCTGTCCTGCCCCCCCACACACACACACACTTCCCATCATATCCATGTCCCCTTCTTGTTTTCAATTTGTCCCTAGAATTAATCTAAGGTCCAGAAATCCTTTCAATTGTATGCATATCTGTGCTTGTATGAGCTCTTACACACACATTATGTGGGGTCAGAGGGTTTTTCTCATATTTCTTTCAAAAGGACCTGTGACCTCGGGTCTCTTAGGAGCTCCTGTCCTGTGGGGTTCAGGTCTCTGCCGCCTCTAGGTTTGCTGCTCCACTTACTTTCTCGGATGGGGAGAGGGCACAAGCATGGCCATAAGTATATGTTGGGGGCAGGTGGGAGTTAATTCTCCTTTCAATGAAAAAAAATCAGTTTCTCTGTGGAGGTGGGCCTGCAAAAGAATCCAACCAGATTTCACGACTAGGACACTTTCCAGAAAATGTCATTAACTTCAGCCCTACAGTCAGCTGTGAGCATTAGTTATCACTTATTTAATACCCATCTTGTGGATCACAATGGCTGAAGAGATCCAACAAACTACTGACTGGATATGATTGGACGTATAAGAAAGCTACCAGAGTGCGCAGCGAAGACAATAATGGGATTTCACAGGGGAGGTGGTAAACTCAAGAAGTTTCTGTTGACCTTGAAATCAGAGCTTTAATCATTGTTAAACTGAAGGAAAATTGCAGGAGGTTGAGTAAATGGAAGAGGAAGCAGAACTCTGCAACAAATACTCAAAAGTGAAGTGGGGACTGGAGCAATGTTTCACTCTTCCAGCCTTGCCACTCAAGTGTAAGGACTGAGTTCAGATCCCCAGCACCCATGGAAAAAGCTATGGTGTGCACCTGTAGTTTCAGCTCTGGAATGAGGAGACAGGAGGGTCCTTGAAGTTTATTGGCTGAATCACTGAGCTCCAGGCCATAGCTTCCCCTAACAATTCAGGTAAATTAGCTGAAAATGAACTCAGTAGTTATTGACTTGAAGCAGCTTGATACACATTAACGTGTGCTATATGTTAGATGTTGCTAGTATAGCTAGTGAAGATGCATTGACCCAAAATTTAGACTTAAAAGCTGTGATTTCACCTTTAAATTTTGCATTTTAGAAAAAAATAATAAGTTGAACGAGCAATTGATGAAGATGTCTGCTGTTGATCTCTAACGTCCATTCACATGCTTACACATGTCCATGTACACATGCACCATACACACTCATTACATAATGTGAGTGAGGTGAGCCAGGCCTGGTGCCACAGACCTGAAGTCCCAGCTACTCAGGAGGCTGAGGCAGAAGAATCTGGTTTCAAGGCCTATGTGAGCTAGAGTGAGCAAGGGAAGGCTGGGCAACTTAGGGTGCTCCATCTCAAAATAAAGAGTAAAAAGAGGGCTGGAGATAGAGCTTGGTGATAGTGTTTGCCCAGCATGCCCAAGGCCCTAGGTTCAACCCCAGTTATTACCGAAAAAGGGATTAAAAAAAAGGACGGGGGGGGGGGGGGAGATATTCTACGGTCTAAAGAAGAAATGAGGGAGGAAAGATTTTCAAGAATGGGAGGACTGGGGGAGGAGAGAGGAAGATGTTAAGGGAGAACTGATGTTATTCTTGTGAAGGGCAGCTGGTAAAGTGCTTGAATTAAGCCCTTTTGGCTGGCTTAAGCATGCAGAATATACCCTGAGATCACTCAGAAGTTGGAAAGGTGCATGAAGATGGACTTGGAACTGGGGAGAAGTTAGTGTTTTGAGCAGCAGGTGGAGAAGAGAGCAGAGGGAGTGACATGGGCCTCAGGACCAACATGCCCTGGGTGTGGCCTCAGCATCCACATGGTAGTTACATGTCCTTGGGCTGACTGTGCCTCTTGAGCTTGTAATGAAACAAGAGTCTTAGTACCTGCTGTATGAAAGTGTTGTAAGGATTAGAGAGCGTATTTGTAACATGCCTTCTCTACCTGTCACATTCATCATGTGTAGCTCTCAGAATTACTTTTGCCTCTGTGTAAAACTCTCCTGCTGTTTTTGGTCTTTGCTGCTTTCTGAAGAGGACAATCTCTGCTTTTCTAGTCTAAACTAGCTGTCTCCCCCACTCCCATTTATCATAGCACATTTATCACACTGTTTCTGTGATTTTGTGCTAGTGTGGTTTTGTGGCTTTGTCTCTTCCACTAGACATTCAGTGTCCAACATTCTTGAATGGAAGAATGCCTGGAAGCCAGGCGGTGGTGGTGCACGCCTTTAATCCCAGCACTCAGGAGGCAGAGGCAGGCGGATCTCTGTGAGTTTGAGGCCAGCCTGGTCTACAGAGTGAGATCCAGGACGTCCACCAAAACTACACAGAGAAACCCTGTCTCGA